TCCCGATCTCTGTCTCTGTCCCGGTCTCGCTCTCTGTCTGACTTATCAAACTGCCTCTCAGTTCTCTCATCTCCACCCTCAGCTAAACAAAAAAGGCAACCGTCAATAGGCAGGCCGCATTATGCCATTGTTTTCCAGATGACTATCAGACCCGCAAGGATCTATGAGTCACACGTGACAAGATTGCAAATGATCACATGTTCCTCACCTAATGTTAACTTAACATTGTAATGTCATACCTCTTTGTTTCTTGGCCGGTTTCGTTACCACTGCAGATGGGTCATTTGGAGACAGCCAGGCCACCAAATCAGTCTCCACATTCCAGTAATAAGGAAGACCACTGTGGGTTGAATGAAGAATGTGCAGCCAAAACATAAACAATAATCTGTTACATACATTACTTTTAATGAATAATGTAATTAGGAAGTTGTTTGACTGAATTAACTTGATAAGTCACTGATAACACAATATTAACCTATAACATTGTAAACAAGCAGCTGAGTGGCCAAGCTTACATGCAGGGAACCCCACAGTACTAAATATTAAATAAGATATGATAAAACAAACTCATGATAAACAGTTTCATCCTGTCTCTTTTGACAATAACAGTTCAACATGAGTTTATTGGAAGTTTTTTTATTATTATTATTCCAACAGTGTTAAATTGGCAAAATCTCTGTTCTTACTTTTATTTCATTTCAGCCATTTTCTCAATGAAAATCACTTTTCATCACAAAGTCCTTAACATAAGTCAGGTTACAAATTATGGAGAATCCATAGTTTCAAAGCTACACTCATCTCCAAACAACATAGACTTACAAACCAGAAATATAGTCCTATTATGACCGTTATTTAAGTCTAAGATATTCAGTGATGAAATGAATCTTGTAATTTGTTATTAAAATTAGCTCTGTTTGATTCTTAGGTTTAACTCCATAGTAAACATGTCCAAGCAATCAATTAAGATTTTATGGGACTTTTACCTTTAAAAACTGCAACAATGGTAAAACATGAAAATACTGCGGAAATCAAGTGTACGTACCAAGCAGGGTCAAACACTTTGTACCAGTTTGGTGGTAGATTTTCTATTCTGGTGGCTTCATAATCTACATTGTTATCATCGTAATCTTCAGCAATAATCTCTTCATCTACTTCTGGGTGAATTTGAGGAGAGGGGAAAAAACTATTAGATCACTCTTGAAAAAGTATGAAACAAAGAAAAAAATGTCTGATTGCACTTGTAAAATGTTTTCTACTACCGTGCTCTGTCGGTTTAACAATTCCCCTCTTGGCCAAGCGGGCCAGCAGTGCTGGAGGCAGAGGCATCCTGAAACACAGAGGACTGGTGTTTAAATCACAGTGCTTTATCTACAGACTATTTTGTTATGACATTTCGTGTTATCCTAAGATGTATAGAAAGGTCTTTGAATTAGGATTAAGAAATGGGAGCTTGAGAAAGCTTCAGTGAAGGCAATACAGGGGTTCACCAGTCATTTCAATATTTCACAGACTAACGTTAGGTCATTCTCCTCTGCACGCTGCTTTCGTACCTCTGTGGCTCTGAAATGACACGTTAGCTTGTAACATTACTGACATCCCACCTTTTACAGCTCGGGTTTGGCGAAGGTTCTCTTTACAAAAATGAGACATTCACAATTCTGAAATCATTCAATTTACGTAAAACAGATATTTCGCCCGCACAACAAAACAATAACGTTAAATGCACCACCCATCGGGAAACTCTGTTACAAACGAAAAATTAAACCATTTAAAACATTTGTACGTCTAGGCGGTAACATCTGAACTACAACAATACGCATACATTTTTCCATACAAACAGCGAATTCAAATCAGGCTGTCTCTACCTTCTATTTTTTTTAAAATCGCCTTTCTTATCGTTGAGTAAGTTGCAGCAGACACCACTTCTCAAAACAGCACTGGCCGCGCAGAATGATGACGTCACCATGAGCTCTTGACGACAACAAATATGGAGGAGTATATTCGTGAACCTTGGTAAGATTAGTTGTTAAAGTATTTATCTTGCTCTGAATATTTAAAATAGGTATTCCAGAGTCCATGTCTATGATTGATCAGATAATTGTACTAGCACATTTTGTGAATTGTAGGCTACAGCTGTACAGTGAACGGAATATGTATTAAACAACCTATGTTGGGTTGCAACTATAACCATTTTATAACAACTTTCATCGTTTAATGTGTCGATTAGTTTTTTAGTGCAAAATAGCAACCTTGTGAAATCTTCATAATGATTATATTTGCTAATTTAATTCAAAACCTAAAGAGATAATATAAAAGAGGAAAGCAACAAAGTCTCAGTTGCAGGAAGTGTATTTAGGGGATGTTTGATATTCCTATATGATGCATAACTTTAATCAGTTGGCAATAGTGCAGCACCGATAATAGAAATTTGGATGTAATGGCTCAATAGTGCAGCACTGATAATAGAAATTTGGATGTAATGGCTCAAACAAAAATGCCACAAATTCACTGTCAATGAACAAATCAGATACTAATATCACAATCCAAAAATACTGCAAGGACTCAGTATGAATTTTGTTATGTTACCAGACTTCTCTCCACAGTGATCTAATTTGGAATGGCTTTTTTACTGACATAACTCAGCATGAGTGTTGTACAGTTACTATTGCGGCTTTGGAGGACTGACAATGTAAATCTTGCAACATAAAGTATATGTTTGTCTACTTTTTATGTTAAATGATTTGTCCTGACATTACATTCCTCCCTCTCTCTTCTCAATAAACAGTCCCTGGAGGATAGTCGATGACTGTGGAGGTGCTTTCACCATGGGTGCTATTGGAGGAGGTGTGTTCCAGACAATTAAGGGCTTTCGAAATGCCCCTGCAGTGAGTTCAGTACCTACTTATTTGCTCTCTGGCTCTCATTGGATTTTTAAAGGCAGAATTTAACCGTGCTCTCATGTTTCAGGGTGTCAGACACAGACTGAGAGGTAGCGCAAACGCAGTGAGAATAAGAGCTCCACAGATTGGAGGTGGGGAGATTTGCTTTTCTAAGACCTGTTAGCTCTCTGAATTACTGAGACTACTACGTAGTTTCATTGTGTGAAACTAAAAGCGCATATTTAGCCACAGATTTGCATTTACCAGTCTGTTTTTTTTGTCAGTACAGGCAGCTTTGCTGTATGGGGTGGGCTCTTCTCCACTATTGACTGTGGCCTAGTTCGCCTCAGAGGGAAAG